ATGGCAGAATAATATCATCATCATCTCAACTTTCGATGAACATGAACCTGATAAAGATTTCATATATCTGACAACTAAAAATGTCTTTCATTAGAAAATACAAATCCATGCATCTAATAGTCAATCTGGTCAAATTTTGTTTTATATTCAACAAAAGCGCTTGTCTTTACAAGTAGTAAGTTCATCCCTGCAATATGGATGGAATTTCAGCAAAAAGAAACCTTATAAGAATTCAACAAAGCCTTTTCCAAACTTCCAGTACTCAAAAAATGAACTCATGCAAACATGCTCATCATGATAGTTTTTTTAAATGCTGTACATACTATTTTCTCTGGTGTTAACAACTATTTTACAAAATGACAGTGTTTCAAAATTTGCCAATCTGATACCCTTGAAAACACACAAGCACACAAGATAAAGACAAATGTATTAAATCTGTTCCTCGCATTGATTTATTTAATGCCAAGAAGATATAGTTGCTTTCTGAATAATTAAATCTGTAGGACAATATTTCAACTATGAGAACTGTAAAAGATAAACTGCGATTTTGTTGAGTGATTCACACATACTGGCAAATATGTCACTCCAGGTGACCCAGAGGGGATTTTTGAAACAATTATGGGTCAAAACAATGAAAATGTTCTATTCACAAACTTTAAGAAAAAAACAGAAATGACACAAGTATTGCGGTCATCATGAAGGTGGTTAGATGCTTTTTGAAAGACAGTACAGGAAGTAAAGAACTTCCTGGAAGAGTTTGCTTACGATTTGTCAACTTTCCTATGAAATAAACAGTTTGTTAAGAACTGAAAGGATACACTTTGATGGAACCTGTAGCAGTCCCAATGGCCAGTAACCGCTGAGCAGAATCCCAAGCCAAGGCTGTGGGTTTATTTGGGAAACCATGTTGTACTGTCTAAAAAAATCATAATTATCTCTACAATTCTGACTTCATAAACAAGGGGAAAACAAATAAATTGTGAGTGAACTATTTGCCCAGTCCACAGGTAAAAATAAAATGTCAATAATTTTAAACAGGTTATATAATAAGTGTATATGAAAAAAGAATGATCAAGGATAAGCTAGAATTTGGGAGCATTGTGTATTCCCATTCAACAGAAAGCCATAACACAAATCTCAGGGGCTCAAGAGGATAATGCTTTTAACATTTAACAAAAAACATCCTGAATCAGCATCCACAGGTTATATAATTATTATTCATAATCATATGATATTAGTTCACCATGTGTGAAGTTTAAATAATGTGAAAACTGATTTCTGAGTGAGAATGCCATACTTTTTATGTGAATCTAAAACAAGAGGTTATCAGACTGCTGTTTTATTGCAGTTTCTAATACAACTGTTTTCTAATATTTCACAAACTAGTGCAACTCTATTGACCCCATACCCACTGCCACAAATCTGCTGTTGCAGGGATAATCTTAAGACAGATAAGTGAGAATTCATGTTGTCACAGTGACAAGTATCAACATGGCTGTCTTCTTGGAAGCTGTGTCATTAGTCTGGTAGATACTGACTGCTCTGTTTAAATGGACCTTAATTTTACAGTTATCCATACAACACATTCAAACTCAGAAAAATCCATATAACCTGAAAGATATCTAACTGAATTAGTCACTGACTATCGATTTATTTGAAGATGCTTTGCCAGAGTTAACAAAGCAGTTCTGCCTTAGTAATAAAGCATCAAATGGTAGAACAGTTTGTAAATGATAAATTGGAAATAGAGCGTAAGGAAGTACTTATGGAAAATTTTACAGTATTATACCAGAATTAGCGTGGAGGAACTGGCCTCTGGTTTACAAGCACAAAGTGATCACCATGAATTCCTGTGAATTATACAGGAATCTGTAGCAGATTATTATTGTCAGTTTATGCAGATATTGTATCTGACTGTACTCCTCTAGCAAAAAACAGTATCAAAGGCACACCTTATGTTATCATATGTACACAGCAAATCAATATTTTTTCTAATGTATACGGAGCTTGTTTACCAAATTACTAACACTAATCAGCAGGTGAAAAGAGATATGTTATCTTACCATAACCCCAATCAAATAGCAAATACACAAACACTCACATGTAATTATATTACATGCACTGAAATAAAAATACACCCCTTTATAAAATGTGTAGCTTTTGTTTTATTTCAGGCAGCACAGACAGCATATTGACTGACCATGGGCTGGACAATTGCGTTTTGATCCCTGACAGGAGCAGATAATTTACTTCTAGCCCTGCAACCAGACTGGCCCTGAGGCCCACCCAACCTCCTGCCCGATGGGTACCTGGGGTCTTCTCCCCAGGGGTAAAGCGCAGCTGGGGCATGACACAGACAACTCACCCCCCACCTAGCACTGAGGATGAGAATGAGTAGGAGTTCTTCTCCCCCGAGTATCTACATGGCACATAACAGGATGGCTTTTACACCTTTTGTTTTAACACTGGGTATAATCTATGACAAACTGATACAATAAATACAGATCTGTATAAAACATTTCACACTGCTTTATCAACTGCAAAGCTTACAAAGCACTGAATGTGAGCATGATTACTATCAAAAATGTAGAAAAGGTTGCAACCTCTTTTAAGGGACTGATTCAGAATCTGCTTTCAGGTTCTAAGGAAAAACATGAAGGACCTATCTCACAGTAGTCAACTTCTAGAATGCAAACCACTCAGTTGTATAACTATCAAAGAACTGGGATCTCATGTCATAAACTGTAACCTTATTTCTACAAGGTCTCTAATCTGTCTCCCAAGCCATTCAGTTTATGCTTCTCCTCAACACAAGCATTAATATCATAAAATCAATAGCAAGTATTATGATAACTCACTAACATGTCAGATTCCATTCACAATTATTACACTTGACACAAATCACTTTACCAATTGACACCAAATTTGAATTTGATGCAAGGGTGTAAACTGGATTCAACTAAGGTTAGGGTCCAGTGGTGCACTCTTGTGAACACAGTAACAAACCTCCATGTTTCATAAATGACAATTTCTTGACTGACAGAGCAACCAATATCTTCTGACAGACTTCAGCTCCATGGTGTGAGTTAATCGGTTGAAAATACGAAAATGATTGCTGGTTTCACTTCCCTGTATTCACAAAAGCCTGCCATCAGACTCTATCCTGAGCCAGCTGCATCCAGTTGACTCCATCAATTCCTGTCTCCGTAAAGTCCATCCTAACATTATACTCCCACCTATATTCCCTATTACCTACTTCCCCTATTGTCATTACGGTTGACTGACTTCAGTGAAGTACAATGAATGTTATGACAGAACAGACAAAACACAAAAACAACAATACTGATAAATCTGAAAACTAAGTGGCATTTACATTATGGTAAAAACAGTAAACATAAAGGTCTAATCCCAATAATATCTTCTTGGGCAATCAGCCATGTCAAATGGTTACAAGAAGAGACCAAACATTTCAGACACCACCTCTCCCCACATCAGGGTTCTGATGAGATCAAATACCATAACTGTCTCCTATATGGAACTGCCTGGTACCAGTACTCATGGCTGGACCCTAGCCAATCGGAACCGGTGGGTGGAGTCAAGCTCTCATGTTGTGTGGCCCTACTTTCCCATTGGTATTTGATATAAAGCTGCATACTATGACTATACACTTAAGTGAACAACATATTCTTGACCTATTGCTTCATTTTCAGGAGGTCATAGGTTCAAATCTAGGTCCAAAATAGGCTAACCTGACCGAGGTCTTTTATGGTTTTTCTCAGGCGATCCAGGCAAATGCCAGGATGGTACCTTAAATTACATCATTACTTTCCCTCTGGATTCTTTCAAATTCATTTTTAATTATCATATCATCTGATGCTACATGTCTCAGCTAGTAACAGTGTAATTAAATAAGATTCAAGAAAATAAAATAAGAAAAAACTGTCCAGTCACAGACAAGAGAATGGGAATCTTTATGAGACAGGAAGAAATTCAATTATGTTTGAAAACCCCTGAAAGATACGGGTGTGGGCTCTTTCCAGCTTACCTTTCTGAATGCAAACAGCTCTCTCTGTAATTTCTGGCGCTCTGCAGACGGTTGCTGTCCCTTCCCTCGTATAAACTTCAACATGATTTCTGTAAATAACCAAGGTAGCCGTATGTCAAAAAAAGTTTAAAACACACCGATTTCAAAATACATTAAAGTAATGACAACTCAGAACTGAAAACAAATCACTACACAAATAAGACTAATATATTTCATAAATTTTTTGAAGACGTCAACCAATATGTACAATGCACAGACCACCTGAAGGAAACGCCTGTACGTCAACTTATTTCCATCGCCTTTACCACCGGCTATTACCATACATGTACAATCAACAAAACAAAAAATAGGTTCAAGTACCTTAACTATACCTACTTTAAAATCTATAAATATAATTAACAAAACCTCCGAACTACAATAAAAATATTTCTTTCCACGTCCCCCCCAAACACCCAGACGCTTCAAACCCAATTTCATTAGGTACAGTGTTAATAACCCAACAGTATTCCTTCGCAAAGGTGTTTAAAATTGTCCAGAAATTAACTACATACAAACGTAAAATTATTGACAAATCCTTTGCCGATAATAAAAATGATGCTTTATACGAGGAAAGTAACTCTGTACTAAACACACCAACGAAATGCTTCCGAACTACTTTAGATGCCTTGGCCCGAGATGACTCACAACACCACAGACTTAGACGACACCTGCTGTTGGAATGTTCGAAGTTATGGTTTTTTTATCCTTAAACATAAGAGTTTATTTCGTGCCTTGTGAAAAGACCCAAAAATTACGCACAAAATATAAGCGAATAAACTGTTTATTGTATTATAATGACGCTAAGCGATTTGTCCATACAGTGATTATCAACTACTTGACACCATGGTGCATAGATAACCTCCACGGTGAGACAGTACACACATAATAATAAGAATAAGAAATGAAAACAACGCCTCATGCGGAACATGAAAAAAGCTTGAAAAATCTGTACTGGTTATGGTGATCTGTGCCACATGTTTGACATCATATGAATGGGTTTTATTATTGTATTTTGCAATGTTGGCTTGTTGCTACCGTGGATGGCAGAGCATGGCTGCCAATACTTTAGTAACATAAAGAAGACGTGTATTAACTATAACTTGTATAAAATGTCAGAGGAATAGATAACGAATAAAAGCTAAACATCCATTTGAGAAGGTTTCCAATTTCAAAACTTTGCCTTCCTTGATCTCTGTGTTGCCACCTACTGCCGCTCTCATAAACCATCAAATAAAGATGGAAATGGAAATGCGAATTATATGAGTAAAAAGTGGCGTATTATAACAGGGAGGCTAGAAATTGAAGCATATTTAGAGCTGGAAGTTCTCTGAGCTTTATTAATTTTGAAAATGGCAGCGCAGAAAGCCAGAGTGCTTACGTAAGTTAGAGAATGTATTGTTAATACTGTTTCTGTTTAGCAGATAACCTGCATAGATATTGGGTGTAATAAGGGTAAAAAAAAACAGAAGAATTGTGAAAACAATAAGTACTGAATACGAACATGAATATGGCTTGAAAATAAGAAACACATCATCTGAATCCACTGATCTCAATTTCCTTGATTTGGGATCCAAGTCTTTACCTACACCGGGTGATTTGTTTTAGTTGCCTTTCATTCTTTTCAGCTACGAAATATTTTGTATACCAAATTGAATGTCTTACATTGTATAATCTGAACAGGTCAAATTCTGTATGCTTTACCAAAAACTGAATGTGTAAGTGATGCATTTTGTTTGTACGAAATCAGTAATTTGGATGGCGTAGGACTCGTTTCACTTAATATTGCCCAGTGGTTTGTGCATACAAGTTTATTGTTAAAACAATGCTGAGTCTTGTGGAACTGTTCAGTGTTACTGACCCAGCTGTATTATAATATGGTTACATGAAATGTCTGTTACAGACTGGGTGCAAAAAGGATCAACAGAGCAAATTAAAGGATAAGATTCCATGCAAAGTTGACACATTTCTGAAATTTGTAAAAGAAAATTTCAAGTGGTTCAGTATGACTAGTCCACAGCTCTCACAATTAAAATATTCAAACCAAACACAAACAGATGAGGTGTTTACTATGCATATAATAGTTTATAAAAGCACAGTGATCAAGTCACTTGTGAATAAACAATGTATTGTGTGTGTATAATTTATTTCAGGGCTGAAGAGCTGGTTCATTTGAGAATAAAGGTAGACAAAACACTGCCCTTAAAAGGAACCAAAGAGTTTCAACCTTCACATTCTTGGCTTGAAAAGAAGCAAATTCAGGCTGCTTTAGATGAAAGAAAAGTTCTTCTTGAAGAAGAGAGAGTGGAGAGATTGTAAGACTTTTTCTGTTTCTGAAAAGGGACATGGCTTATGCTTACCACCTGAGATTTGTGAGATATATTATCATTTTCAGTTCCTGTATAAGAATTTAGACTCATGTTATGGCTTTTGGCCATCATAGAATTTAAAGTCATGACATCTGTAAGTCACTGAGAAGAATTCCTTGATACTTGATAGCCTTCACGTACCACAAAATGTAGTCATGTGCCTTTCTGCCTGTGCATTGTACAACACATTTCTGGTTAAATGGTTACACTTAACTACCAGTGGACATGAAATTGGGAACATATTTCTCCTTGAATATAACTTAAATATTTGGATAATTATGTGTTGTATAGAATTACTAATGATGTTCATGAAGTTGCGTATTTGTTTATTTCAACAGAGGAGCATTAACAACAGCTGACTGGGATGCAGAACTGAAAATTGCAAATGTGACATGTAGAGTGGGTCGACACTGGAAACAGATGGGTCATGAAGCTGGAGGAAAACTCCATTTATTTCCAGAAGAAGCTTTGTTTCTCTTGGAAACTGTGAGTATATGTAAATTAAGAGGTGGGTACTGTGTACTTAATCTGATGATTGTATGATAATACAGTGATTAAAAGTCACCAAAGTGGAATAGACCTAAATATGGCCATGTTATATGGTATATGATTGCTTCTACACATTTTTACACATTTCTTTCTTCTAGCTATAAATTACAGTTTATTATGTCCTATTACTTGGTTTAGTATTAGCTGACAAAGCTCAGTCAGTATAGTGACTGGCTTTGGACTGGATCACCAGGGTTTAATCCCTGACAGGGACAGAGGATGTTTCCTCTAGCCTCTGCATTCAGACTGGATCTGGGGTCCACCCAGCCTCCTATCCACTGGATACTGGGGTCCTCTCCTGGGGGTAATGTGAGGCCAGGGCGTGATGCTGACCACTCACCTCATCTACTGCTAAGGTCAAGAATGAGTAGGAGCTATACCTCCCCTCCCCCCCAAGCACATACATGGCTTATAGTGGGGCAGCTTTACCTTACTTGTACTTGGTTTAGTGTAGTGAAGATAGTCTAATTGACTGAATAAAGAGTTTTCAAATTACTGTATTATGAACAATGCAGTAACTTTACATTATGGTTAGTTGGACTAGCCAGCCTCTTTGTCCTTTGCATTTACAGGTAGCCCTCGATTTGCACCAGTCCAATTTGCGCCGATTCAGAATAACGTTGATTTTAAAAACAGAAAGTCAAAAAGTGAAAGAAAAAAAAATTTACTATTATTTATAACGTTTTACAATGTTTCTCATACTGCTTCTTATACTGAATCGTAATTCTTACATCGCTGATTTTGAATAAAAATTATAAATGCAGTCATCTCTGCAATTACGTATGTTTCGTTAACGTGAATTTGTTCCAATGAGATCGATGAAACAGTAAAAGTGTCCAATTTGCGCCGATTCAGAATAACGTTGATTTTAAAAACAGAAAGTCAAAAAGTGAAAGAAAAAAAAATTTACTATTATTTATAACGTTTTACAATGTTTCTCATACTGCTTCTTATACTGAATCGTAATTCTTACATCGCTGATTTTGAATAAAAATTATAAATGCAGTCATCTCTGCAATTACGTATGTTTCGTTAACGTGAATTTGTTCCAATGAGATCGATGAAACAGTAAAAGTTGTTTGTGAAATGCAAGCTTTTGCATATGCGAGTTTGTTCTTGTGCTACAGCGAAGAGGAGCATTATGGCATCTATGAGGCCTTATCGTGAAATTTTGAAAGAAAGAAAGAAGAAATCATGACAGTCCACAGTACATGCTTTCTTTAAAAAACATGACGATCCTCAACCAGGGACTTCGTCAGAGAACTAACGCCACTCCATCACGCCATCGCCGATTGTAAGTGTGCAACATATATTTTTTAAATTCCCTTTATTTTATTTATGTTATTTCAGAGCTTTAAATGTAATGCCATTATATTACTCATCAAAGTTCGGGTCCTGGGAACACATGTCATTGACTTCCCATTGATTTACATTATAAAATTATTCCAATTTATGTCGGTTCGTCCAGGAACACGTCCCTGGCATCAATCAAGGGCTACCTGTATACAACTGAATTAGCAAAAAATGTGGAATAATGCTAACAATGATATAACTGCAGGAAATACTACTTATATATATATATATATATCAGGTGTTTTGGCATTGAATGTTGACCATTAGATTGGCATGTCATTTACCTTATTATGTGTATTATTTGTTTGTTTCTGAACCAAGTTATTCTTACTCTGTCCAGACCTGTCTTGAGCTCATGCACAATGGTGTACCTATGAGCATTCAGGAAGGTTACAGCAAGCTGCTTGGTCCTGACACAGGCTGCACATTCAATGAGTATCAAAGTTATGTGCATCTTGTACGTCAAGGCTACATTGTACTGCGACACTCCAACTCCATCAGAGCAACTGACTATGAGCGACAGATACGACTTGATCAGTACAGTGTGGGGCAGAAGCAATGTAAGATGAAGGAAAATGCTTCAGTGCGAGAAATAGTTATTGAAGATGGTAATATAGATACCAAGGAACATACTGGGATTATAAAGGAATCCATTAGGAGTGAAGACATGCAAAATGATTTGAAAATAGAGGAACAAGAAATTATTGATGTAGAGACATTAGAAATTGTGAATATGAATGATGACAGAACACCTGATAAAGTAACTGGAGGGATGGATGAAGCTTCTAAAAGAAGTGGGTCTGTAGAGAAATCAGTCTCTAGGAGTTCTTTGAGAAGTGGTAACATTAAGAGTAATCCTTTTGAGTCTAAAATGACTGTGAGAACTGATCCAGAAGGAAAGGATATTAGTACCATAAATAAGACTGAAAGTGGAGAAGAAACCATTAAGATTGTCAAAGATAAAACACCAGTGCAAGAAAAAGACTCACAGACAGAATATGTTTTAGGGTCAGATAGCAATTGCAAAATGAATTGTATTAGTGTTGATTATCAGAATTGCAAAAATGATCTTCAAGTGGCAGACTTAAGATGTGGAATAAATGAAGAGAATATTACAGGAGATGGAGTTTCTGGTGCAGAACCACAGAAACAAAGCCATAGTGAAAGTAGCAAGACAAATGAAATAGAAGTAATTTCTGGCATAACTGCACAGTACTCTAGGATTATGGTTGTTGATGTTGAAACCATGACAGCTAGCAGTTTAAAAAAATCTGACATTGGTATTTGCTCTCAAGATGGTCAAAGTTCTAAAGAAACCAATAATGAAAATGAAGGCTCATCATATAGAAAAAGTATAGAGAAGTGTGATAATTATACATCAGAATTAGTTAAACCTTCAGAACCAACATCAGATGAGATGACTGATGTCACCATTATAGATGATGATAGTTCTACCTCAGTAGATGTCAGTTTGAAAGAGATATTTTCTGGAGACAAAAATGAAATAGAATCACAGAAAAGTGGATGTGAAGGTGATAAAAAACAGTTAACAAATATGCAAAATGTACCACAGAAGTGTGAAAATGTAATCACAGATTATTCTGATATTGTAGATGTTAGTGACAGCAGTCAGATATCATATCCAGACCTAAATACTGAATGTTCAGCAGCAATGAGGAAATGTGATAATAAAAAACAAACTTTAATTGAAATAGTCAGTATAGATGACTTCAAGGATGATGCAGATAATGAAATTGTTGAGGTAAACCATTCAGCATCTGGTATTAGATGTATTTCAAATTTTAGGCAGAGGAAGTCAAATCAAAACAGTGTAAAATGCAGTGCAGATAAGAATGAAAGAAATGTATTAAAGAAAAATATAACTGTAATAAAACCAGATGTAATAGATTTTGAAGGTGATGCTGTAACTAATGTTACACTGTCACCATCTACACAAAATTTAAAGCTTGGTTATAAGAGCAGGCTGCCTTCAGAAGACACTGCATGCTTTGGCAGAGGGAAAGTTACCAACATCCATTTGAAACATGATGAGGTAGAGATCACACCCAGCATCATAGACATTTCAGAAGAGAGAGTGAAGCAGGGTCCAAGTCACATAAACCAAAAAGAAGCCACGTCTAGATGCAGAACTGAAATTCAGGTGGTCGATCTGGAGCATGAAGGTATGAGACCAAACATGTCATGGGATGAAGAAAGAATGAGGATTCTTGATTCTATCCCTAGTATTGATAGAAAATTTATTATACATGTGAGAGTGCCTGATGAGAATCTGCTACCACCAAATGTTTGTCCCCAGAATAAAGACTATTATATCCAAAAGTGTCGTCTTAGTGCACCAGGAATTGGTGGAAAACTGACAGCTCAGCTGCCAAATGACATCGCTCAATGGCAAAATGGTCAACCTCGCCAGACTGATGGTCAAATAAATCCATGGATTCAGGATCCTACTTACTTTGGTGGTGGTGGTGGTATATGGAATAATAATGCTTTTCCTTCATCAGGCCTCTTTATGAACCAGCGTTACCAAACTCCATTCCCTGGAGCATCTGAATTACGGACTGTATTCCATCAGGCTGCTGCTTTGTTGTCAGTTTTTGGTAATCCTGCTTGGGCACATAATAGGATGTATGGTATGCCTGCCCCGGCAACCATGCCTCAACATTCAAGGGTCCCATATGACCAACGACCATTTTGGTATCATCAGACGAGACCTTATCATCAGCCATATTATAAAAGGAGAAGGCGGAGGTTTGAAACACAGTACCGTAGTGCACCTGTGACACTTGGGAAACAACATTTTGAAAACCAGACTAGCAGTAAGAGTGACATGATTCCACTCAGAGTGGAAGGTGAAGTCCATGAAAGAGCACTGAAAGTACCCTCTGAAGGTGAAAAATATGTTGCTGCTGCTACTGATAATGGTGTGATTGAATGCATATCAGTCTCTCATCCAACAAAACCAGAAAATGAACCAATGGAATGCACATCAGGTGAAGGTCAAAAGTTTGACAGTGGAATTGATAGACATGATAGTGGTGGATACAGGAAGCGGAAAGAATCAACGAATACAAGGTTTTTTCAACCACCAAAGAAATTAAGATCATTTATTGAAAAACTGAGATTGGAAACAAAAGAAGAGAAAGTAAAGAAAGACATTTTGAGGGATGAAGTTCATAATAAAGAATCTAAACAAGAAGTATTGGAACAGGAAGATAAAGCAAGTGCTGATGTTAAAAGCTGGAGAGCCTTAAAAACTGTTATGCAGGTTGTGGTCTTAGACTCAAGCAGTGAGGATGAAGATGATGTTTGTGTAGTTGTGGATGATATCCAAAGATCAGAATTGGAAATTACTGAGCCACTGGTACAACCAGAGGATTGCAAAAATTTAGGTATTTCTGAATTATTTTTTATCTCTCTGTTCATACTGCATGAATTGTACAGTGTATTAGTTTAAGTTTAGTTACAACCAGCGAGCATATACAATATATACCCAGCTGTAAGACAAGGGTTTTCTACTTTTATTGTTACTGAAATATAAGGGGGCAGGGGGCATCATATATTCACAAACAAATAAAAATTCATGAACATTGTGTTACAATGATTTATGGGAAAATAGGCAACTGTGGTGTATCTTTAAATTTGCATTTCCATTATGTATTGTATATATTTCAAAACCAATAACTGATAAATTTTCATTACCATTATCATCATACTTGTTCAGAATATAACCAGTTGTATATATTTGGAGCTGAGGAACTGTTTTCATCAAGTGATGAAAACTAGTTCTGTAACAGGCTGTGCATATGAGGACATTCCTTAGAACTGGCTCTGAAACATTGTTTTTTAAAACATGAACCTGAATGACAGATAAGGCACTGTTACCAAAAAATTTCAGAAATTACCATGTGACCCAAAATGTTGATAAAAATTTAAAATATGAATATCCAGGTAAGTTCTTGTTAACACAGTAATTAATCTCTGGTTTCCATAAAAAAGTGGGGAATTTCTTGACTAACCTTTTCTGGTGCTAGCTTCTTGAAAGGACTCTTCCATGTAGTTGGGTATTATACGAGGTGCGTCCACAAAGTAAGTTTCCCACTCGTCCCAAGCGAGTCTCCTGCAGGAGTTCAGCTGGGAGGTGTTTGATCATTCACCCTACAGCCCGGACCTCGCTCCCAGTGATTTCCATCTTTTCCTACACCTCAAGAAATTCCTGTCCGGTCAGCGTCAGCGTTTTGAGAATGACAGAGAGGTGGAGATGGTTGTCACACAGTGGGTCCCATCCCAGGCGGCAGACTTCTACGACACAGGTATTCCAAAGTTGGTCCCACGGTATGACAAATGTCTCAATTCCGGTGGCGAATATGTTGAAAAATAGCTGGACACTTGCTGTATCTGTTGCAATAAATATTTCCATGAAATTGTGTTTTGTTTCTGTAAACGGCGCCAGGGAAACTTACTTTGTGGACGAGCCTCGTATCATATATTACCTCAGTTGTAAACATTTCCTTTTGATTGTACATAATGTGATTTCAGATTCAGTCTTAAAGAAGCTGCAGATTATTAAGCCCATGAATTTTGAGCATGAGAGAAAAGTTGGAACAAATGAGAGACTGAAGATCAGTTTTGATCTGTACCTGCCCACTGCAACATTCCGCAAAGCTAGTCCAGGTCTTCCTAACTACAGGATCACAGTAGTTGGGTATTCATGCATCATACTTTATTTGTCCATAGTCTAAGATCTAAGAATAATTAAAGCACCTTCCAAAATACAGTATGCTAATACTGAATACACCCCAGTCCCTGTGCCATAATGGAACTTTGAAGGTGCTTACTGGCTTGCTTTTACATTAGAATTCCATGTGACACAGGGGAATGAAAATAATAAACTAATAATTATTTACTGAAAACCACAAACTAATTGGATAGCAGTGTGAGATAGATTAAAAACTATTGGAATTTTCACTCTAAATCAACAACCAAGAGCATTCTTAGAAATGTTAGTAATTTTAAATAACAGTAACAAGTGATAGACAAGCTGGTTTACTTTTGTAAATGAAGTGAAGACTTTTGAGACTTTAACTTATTTACCAGAATAATACACTGGACCAGTTGTAATTGTACTGTGGCATTCCTAATTGTGCAGTATTATCTGACACAATGAATTCATCCATCCATAGCAAAGTAATGAAAAAATTAGTAAAATGTAGAAGGCATTATTGAATTATCAAAATAAACTACAACATAACTTCTTTTTAATATTCCAGTCTCCAGTCTTACAAACTTGAGTTGCAATGCCTACATTCTTACATAAATGTCAGTTACTGTCAAACCTACTCTGTATATCCAAACACCCTTGTAGTACAATGTATATAGAAGTTCTTTCATCAACAATAATAACTCTACATACTGCCCCATTACCAATACAGCTAGTAACATACCTCAGTGTAAGATCTTGAAGATCTAAAATTTTGCACATAAAGAATTTTATTTTTAGTTACAAGGTGAGCCCTGGTAAAGAATTGGAAACTTACCAAGAATCAACATGAGATCTATAATTTTCTTAAATAATGCACACAAATCTTACTAAATCAAAGAAATTTAAACTTTGTCTTTACCTGCTGGTTGGTTCTCTTTGTTATTTTCCTTCTTCAACTTCAAGATGCATGAGGTTAGAATCCAGTGATATTCCTTTCCTGTTATGAATTTTTTATTAGAGGTCATCAGAATTTATTTTTTATGCACAGTTTTACTGTGTTTAAACTGTACTTAGGTATTAGTCACAATTATTTGCAATTTAGGTAACTGATCTAGATTATGAATACTGCCAGTATGCATGCATGATAATACTAAAGTGATAAAACAATACATGGCTTACACTGAGCATACAGTAAATGATATCCTAAAGATGTTACCAGAAGTAAGTAGTAGTACACTACCACATGCTATTTCCCAGTATCTTATCATGTGTACATTAAACAGATCAATTTATATGGAAATGGTATCGTTATGTTACCTGTAATTGCTATTTGAGTTTCTCCAATGACATACAAATTTCTTTCTTTCTGTTAAATCTTGCATTTGCTTTCTCTGTTTATAAGTGAATATGCAAAAATTAACATATTGCCTTCTACCCATAAACTGTGTTAATTAATTCTTAATATATTGAAACTGTTGTGTATTATTTCAGGTACAAGGATCCCATACCTGAACCAAAAGAAATGATTGCACTCCTAAAAGATTTTAAAGATGATGTGCCTCTGCTGTTTGCTGTTGTCCTCCCAAATACAGTCACATTCCTCCAATTTGGCAGTGTTAAACTACCTGTTGAGACATTTTGCTCATAATCTATTTTATTTATTTTTTAAATTCCAGTTTGTTATATAAGAATTTAGATCTTAATGTTATAAACTGAAGTATTTATTGGATCTGATAATATAGAACAATAAATCAAATTGTATATTGTAATGGTTCAGATATACCTATATCAGTTCAATAAAGCATTTAACTGTATCATGCGTGCTCATGTCACTCACCAATCTACAAACCATTTGTCCATACACCTGTAATTTCTAATAAAAATCATCACTGCTTACAGTACTATAAAATTAAATATTATACATTAATTAATAAAATGCTATATATTCTATTGTATATGGATGGACTGCACTTTAATTAACTTTTTAGGTATAAAGTTAGTAGAGCATGTCACTTGTTTAAGGAAAGTATTATGAAATCTTTCTACTATCCTGAATGGATAAATTCGCCTGAATAACATAAAAAACTAATAATGTACCATTTTAAATGAACAAAAATACTCAGATGCATCAATAGCAATCAACTACTTTTCTTCAGAAAAACCTCAATCATGAATATTATTCATATAAACTGATAAACTTCAACCAAGAGAAGACATACTACAAGAAATAACAAACAAAAACTACTGCAAATCACATGCCCATACGAAGTACTCATAATATCCGTATAGAGAAAATGAAAGAAACAAAATTAATTGTAGATACAGTTAATTACAAGATAATTAATGGAGTAACATATACCTACAACTATCACTCGAGTTGATACTGTATTATCTAATCTATAGGCACCATCAGTAAATAAGCCATAAATATCAGATATTTTTCTCACAAATGAATATTTACCAAAATAAAACAAAAATGTGTTTAGCCCCTAAGTATTGTGGGCCTTAAAATACAGTGACTGTATGCACATGTGGTAATACTTGCATAACAAAAGTGCTGTATATAAATTTTCATCAAAATCTGTCAAAGGACTTAAAAGAGAGATGTATTAAACTTAATTTTGGGCACCTCAAACAAGGTGACTTAAAATTAATCACTAAATAAAAATCAAGGCTCTAACATTTAGTGTAAGACTGCCACTGAGTTTAAACAAAGCTGGTCTCCCTCATAAGTTTGGTGGTTACAGGCAGACATGACAAAGTTAACAGTGGGGTTTTCATTTTCTTTAATGTGCCAAAATAGCAGTAGTATCCATTGGCACTTTGCAGATATCTTCCTAAAAGTATTATAAGTTACATGCTTTCATAAGCTTATTTTACATTTATAACTTAAACTCTGTTAGAATAGAACTTTCAAGTGATAAAACAGCCCTTCCTACCCATACTATCTTTCTTTAAAATATATCATTAAAGCATCTTTAAAATTTTGTGTAAAATATCCATGGCACTGAGCAAGACTTCTTCACTATGGCCTGTATAAATTATTTTGGTGGATGGACATCTGTAAGACTGAAAAAGAGCAACACAAAAGCAGTTTTGCCTTATGATTTTTATCAGATGTTCCAATTACAAAACAACACAGCATATGGCAGAAGAATACATTGCATCAGCTGATGACAAATGATTTGACTTTGCACATCACCAGGCAGCCTTTTGTAACAAACATCTATAAGTAAAAGTCAAATATCAGACTACTTTTATCAAGGTTGCACATCAGATATCCCTGACAGTAGAATTAACAAGATGTTACACAAATAACATCTACTGTACAGCCTCAGAAGTACTGAATATTAATATGGTTATCATAAACAGTATAAAGTATGAGTAAACAGGCTTCATTTTTTTCCAATGTACCTGTAATTACTGCATAACAAAACCAAGTTTAAAGCACTGTATATGATTGCAGTAATATGTGCGTATCTAACTAATGTATAAAAACATGCAGTTAACATATACTTAGGCCTATAATAAATTAGTCAAATGGACAATAGACTTGCCATAGTCTTAAAAATCATGGTTCACCAATTCCAGAATGGAAAACTACCAAAGCTAGTGGCAATATGTGCAATGACTTCTCACACTGAAACATTCTCAGCTTTATGGATATTCACTTTCTCCATCACAAAATACAATACAGAGAATATAAAACAATAAATGTCTACTGTAGTATTTTAAATTTAACATATTCACTACCACACCAATAAAAGATGAATAAGGGCTATAATAGAAAACTCTCTTCAGGGGAAGAGAAAAACAAATAGCACAT